ACCATCAAGAAAACCCAAATACACACTCCCATTTGATATTACAAAACAGTAAGAAAAGGGGAAAAAAAGAATCTTACCACTCTGCTATTGCCACCATCAACATCAACCTTGTTTCCCAACACCACAAAAGGAAAGTTTACATTCAACCAATAGTTTACAACATTACTTTATTTTTCCAATTAATATCTCCTATGTCATTGAATGGAAAATTACCTGAATCAGAAACTCTTCACGCCAGTTGTTAAGATTATCAAAGGACTTCATGATATTCACATCATACACGAGTACGCAGCAATATGCACCTCGATAGAAAGCCACACCTAACTTTGAAATCTTTCCTGCCCAGCAGTATCCCATATCTACACAGACACAGCGTGTCGATGCTAAGAAATGTAAATAAAGCTTATTCTAGCTACTTCCCTAGCAAATAAATATCTTCACAAAGAACAGATAAAGGTTGGCTTGATTTATAACTATATTACATAAACTCCGAGGTAAGCATCTGATATACGGATGAATCCAACACGGCTATACTCAAGTTTTTGTAAGATTTTACATATATTTGGAAGATGATACTTATCAGGTCAGATTCAAATACATGTTGGATACATATACTTTTTTTCATTAGTTTGGAGTGATTTCAAGGTAGTATCTATTCAGAATTTTATTAATCAATTGATAATGAATGCACACGAATACAATTGCTCAAATCTAGGACTTCCAGGAAGAACAAAGCATCATTTCACCACCGAGGTGGCTCAATGTGTTCTGATACGGATACTTCAAGGCTTCAAGCAATATATTTAACTTGTTTATTTGTGAAAACAAGGAAATAAAAATAAATTGATTCTGTTTAGAAGAAAGTAGCATTTTACCTGCAATGTAAACAATCTATCTTCAAACTGAACCTTTTCGTCAAAAAATCGGCTCCGATCGTCGCTGTGTACTGATTACTAGACTTACGATTAACATAGCTAATTCCAGTAAAATTAATAATAATTAAAACATCAGAAACAGCGATTGAAATTTTCAAAAACTAAAAAAAATAAGTTTGAAAACTTACTGATTCATGAGAGATGTCTTCCCAACTCTAGAAATTCAAAAATCAAAAGAAGATGAATATCAAGAAAAAATGTATAATAATAAAAATAAAAATGGAAATTACAGAAAATTTATAATATATAGAAATAAGAGAAAATGATAATAAGATTTACCCGCTGTCTCCGAGTATTATGACCTTTAGAAGCATACGCCGACGAGAGGCCATGGGATCCGATTTTCAATTTTATTATGTTTTAGTAATTTAGATTATTTTCTTAAAAATCAAATACGAAATTTCACAGAGAATTGAAGTTGTGAGTGATTAATTAATTTGTTTTATTTTGCCAGAAAATCCAAATTCCGTTGCAAACAGTTACATACAAGTGCTTCAGTTTTCAGCCACTCAACAACCGCTTTGCTATCTTCCAAAAATGCCCTTGTCTGTAGATCTAATCTATTTACATTTTCTGACTATATATTATAGCATTAGTCACTCAATAAAGTATTTTTATGTAGCCCTTCTTGCTAAACAATGTTGGCGTCTCATCAACCAACTCAACTGTTTTTTTGCGCGTGTCCTCAAGGCTCGATACTATCCGGGGATATTTTCTTAAACGCAGGATCCAATCCCTCATACATTCGGAGGAGTCTTTGGAGTGCTCGGGGCTTGGTAGAGAAAGGTTACGGTTGGCGCATTGGTTCGAGGGTGAATGTGAATATTTGGAATGATCCTTGGATCCCGGTAATGGTGATGGATGTGTTATAACTCAGTCTATCAATGTCAACTACACAACTGTTTCTGACCTCATTGATGCTTCCACGACTACTTGGAAGTATGATCATCTTCGGGACCTTTTTGATGGGGAGCAGATGTCCATGGCTTGCTCTATGGCACAATGCCTTGCCCACCTGTTGACTCAGTCTTGTTCTCTTGCCTAGTTGGTTGACTTCTTGTTTGATTGGAATTGTTGTTTACATCGCCAATTCCTTTTAATCTTTCACAATTCTGGTTGAAAGCCATCAATGCTTGTATTTGCAACGACAATTGATGCACCATGTTACTCAATTGGTTGATGCTTTCATTCATCTTTCATTGTTCATGATTTGTTCATCAAATGCATAGTTCATTTATAACCCTAGCCTTACAAAAAGGCACGCATATGTGCTCTAAACGTGTGCTTGGTCAAACGTGTTTGACTTGAAGGGGTATGAGGAGCTTTTGTTAATTGAAGCTAAGATGCGACACCTAGGCCCATACCCTGACAACCTTGGTAACTTGTTTATCTTCTTGATTGAATATTTGGATTATGGATGAGTTGATTATATGTTAATTGGTTCTCGTTTCGTGTTGTGGAATATTCATACAGTTCTGCCTAATAATCCCAAGGAGTTTATGTACTCATGGTTTGATTTAATACCGGAGTTGGACATATGGAAATTCGTTCCAGGTGTTGTAATGTGGACGGTATGAAAATGTCGAAATCAAATGGTGTTCGAGAATGGAAGGTTGAATCAAACCCTTCTTTTCTTTTTGGCCAGGTACAGGGTGTCTGCATGGTTCTCGGCGAATAATTCGAATTTCCTTGTTCCAGTAGATTGTCTTGTGGGAGATTTAACTTTGGCTAATTTACGCTTTTCTCTTATGAAGAAAGTTTCCAAGACATATGGTTGGTCCGCCCTCTTCGGGGTTTTTTAAAGTGAATGTGGATGGGACTGTAAGTAGTGACTGGAGGCGTAGTGGTATCGGTGGATTGCTTAGGGATGCTGATCATAAGCAGTTGGGGTATTTCTCGGTAGCGGCCGGTCCAGGTCCTTCGATTCTTGCTGAGTTAAGAGCAATTCAAGCTGGGCTGAATCTTTTCTAGCATTCGGAGTGGAGCAACAAGGGGCTCTTATTTTAGAAAGTGATTCTTATATTGCTTTGATGTGGATTAAAAACCCGGAGGCAAGCCTGACTGCTTTTGTTCATCTGGTGAAGGAAATCGCCAAGCGCGTGATGGATTATAATGTGACTATTAGGCATATCCACAGGTGTTTTAATTGCAAAACAGATAGTTTAGCTAAGTCGGACATAGGATAATGTGGGGTGTTATGGGTGGGGGTGGTTGAGCATTTTGGGTGTTTTGTGGGGATGGTTTGTAGTTGAAATGGTTTTACCTTGGATGTACTCTATATTTTAGTAATAAAATTTTTGGTCACTTTTTTCCTCCTTCTAATATCCGTTGAGAGACCTATATAGCTTGAAGGTTATGAAGGGAGCTTTTAACGAGGCCCGTTTCTTATAAAAAAAAATGGTTCTCGTGTCGTAATTGGATTCTAGAGTGTGTTGTTAATGCTCTAAGCAAAGCTATTGTTCGTATGTGATAGTTTCGATTGGCCTGTCTCAGCAATTCCTTTTCTAAGATTTTGAAAATTTTTGTATTGCTGCATTAGTATCTTCCTGCACTTGAATTGCATGAAATGTTGTCGGCACTCACATTTTCGAAAATGGTTTATGCTTATTCTTTTGCATTATGTAAAAGACATGCATTTCTTATGCTTCATTATATTATGTTTTACAATAGGGGAAGCTGCAAAATGAGATGAACCTTCGCAAGAAAGCTGAGTCCTCTTCAGCTGAAGAGGACTCAGCTGATTTGGAGGGTAAACTTAACCAATTTTCTCAAAGCATAGAAAAGGAGAAAAAACGACTTCACCATGAGCTTGCTCAGCTTAAAGGAGAATCAAAGCTTTCTATTTCCAGAATAAGTGCTGACGTGATTACCTAAACTTGTTTATTTAGTTGATGAAAGAACATCAAGTAGCATTTATGTTAGTCTAATGCATACTTTGTTTGGTTGTAGCTTGAAAGAATGGAATTTAGAGCTAATAATGCTGAGAAGGAATCAGAGCTTTTGAAAGAGAAGCTACAGGATCTTAAGAAACAACTTAATGAGGTATTTCTTTACATGCATATTGATTTTTGTACTTTATTTTGATTGCAGACCAATGTCACTAATCCTCTTTCAACTTTTAACACTTGGTTTTTTTCCTATTGTCATATCCATTTTAACTTTGTTTTGTTTGGGTTTTGATGAATTACTTAGGATTTCTAGTTTTATTGTTGAATGTCTGACTGACTCTTGAAGTCTTATTATTTAAGATGCAAACTGTTCATATCCTGCAGGATGTAGTTTAGATGATTTTTTTATTAAATTGTTAACATTTACCCATTTTGTGGTTTTGCAGTGCCTGAACCAAAAGAGTGAAGTAGAGAAGTTCTCAAGTTTCACCTTTCAAGAAGTTTCTTCTTCTGAGAGCATTATTTTGATAAAACATTTGCAAGAGGAGCTTAGAAACTATGCAAATTTTTTCTTTTTCTTTTTGTATGATAGCTGTTATTTAAATTCTCTTATCATCTATAAAATTATAGTATTAGAAGTTTTGTTATTTATGTACATGTCAAAATGCCCAAACTGCTGATTTTTGAATATATTGAGTGGTTTGCCTTCTCACATTCCAAAACACGCATCTGTATATCCATGAAGCAATCTGAGAAATTCCGCAAATTTCTTCTTGTCCACTGATCATTTGCATGAGTGGAGGAAATGCCGTTCAGTGCCTGGTAGTGTTACACTTATATTTTCTCTTTGAACTGTTAGTAATCTATTTGCATAAACTTTGTTATCCCCTTTTTGCTTTCCTGCTGATGTGTTGGTGGGTATGAATATGAGTTATGTTTCTAAAGTTTTGATCTGACTGCTTATTTGGCTTGACCTGTTAGTCAATGATTTTGGAAGACAGTCTTAATTCCTGTATGGTTCATTTCTCCCTCTTTATATATCTGTTTTTCATGAATTCATTCACTTCTGCCTTTGATTCTTGGTTCTCATCAGGAGTCTGAAGTACGAGAGGCAAGAAAGTTGAAATCATCTCACGAGGACATTGAGTTATTGAAGGCAAAATTACTGGAAGAGAGGGTGGAATCAGAGCTATCCAAGTTGCAAGAACAACAGATAAGTTTGAAGAACTTGGAGAATGAGTTGTCATTGTGGAAACTGATTACGAAGGACATACCTGATGTGTCATGTCCTGAAGATATACCTGTCAAGTTTGCAACATTACAAAAGTATGTTACCAGCTTATTTTGTATTATATTGGTTTATGTTAGGTATGGCTCATAAATATACCAGTAAAGAGGACAGGAGATGGAGTGAGCGAAGCGAACATCAACTGTCCTTACAAAGAAAGTCTCGTTGTGGGGTTACGAATTATGTGGGTTGGGGGTGCGGGGGCGTAGCCCCCGCGGTACGGTACAGGGTTGATTTTGTAATTATGTACCAGGGTTTTCTATTATAAATAGAGATGTAACCTAGACCTAAAAGATTATTGAATAAAAACTTCTAGCGCCGCCTAGGCACCGAGGACGTAAGCACATTGCCGAACCTCGTAAAATTCTCGTGTTCTTTTGTTTTCTTTACCCGTTTTCGTCAACAATTGGTATCAGATGTCAGGAGCAAAATTCGAAGTCGCGAAATTCGATGGTCAGGGTAACTTCGGATTATGGCAAACGAGGGTGAAGGATCTATTGGCGCAGCAAGGGATCTTGAAGGCTTTGCGACCTACAAAGCCGGCGTCGATGGATGAGGAAGATTGGGAAGAATTGCAGCAGCGAGCGGCAGGAACCATACGATTATGCTTGGCGGACGAGGTCATGTATCACGTCATGCATCTATCGTCTCCAGACGAAATTTGGAGGAAGTTGGAAAGTCAGTTTATGTCCAAATCCTTAACGACAAAACTGTATCTGAAGCAGCGGCTGTATGGGCTGAAGATGCAGGACGATCACGATTTGGCGCAACACGTGAATGTCTTCAATCAAATCGTTTCTGATCTGGCTCGGCTTGATGTGAAAATTGAGGATGAAGACAGAGCGATGATTCTGTTGTGTTCGTTGCCTCCCTCTTACGAACACATGGTGACTACTCTTATATATGGGAAAGAGACTATCAATGTTGAGGAGATTACTGCATCCTTGTTGGCTCACAACCAGCGGAAGAAGAATGCAGGGGAAAGCTCTCAAGCCGATAGTTTATATGTCAAGGGTAATCGAGATCGTGGACGGAAGCCAGAGAAGGCAGGGTCCGGGAAGCGGAATTCCAGATCCAAATCCAGGGATAAGAAGACGATTCACTGTTACAAGTGCAAGGAGGCGGGACATATGAAGCGAGACTGTCCGAAGTTGAAAAAGCAGACTGATGAGAAGCGTGATGGCTCATCCAAGTCTGTGAACGTGGTCGAGGATGATAATTCTGATTGCAGTGAGGGTGATATGCTTTCTATTTCAACGACACAATTGACGGATGCTTGGATTCTTGATTCTGGATGTTCTTATCACATCACGCCAAATAGGGAATGGTTTTTGACATACAGGCCGGTTAATTCTGGTTCGGTTTATTTGGGTGATGATCGATGTTGCAATATTGTTGGTATTGGTGATGTCAGAATTAAGATGCACGATGGCTCCGTTCGGACGTTGAGTGGTGTTCGACATATCCCAGACTTGAAGAAGAATTTGATTTCCTTGGGCACTTTGCACAAGAATGGTTTTATCCCTAAGGCTGACGAGGATAGGGAAACCATTCGGATTGTTAAAGGAGCATTGACTGTGATGAAAGGCAAGATGACTGCAGGGAATATCTACAGATTGTTAGGGAGTACCGTTGCAGGTGGAGTTCACTCTGTTGAGTCCTGTGATGATACGACAAAATTGTGGCATATGCGTCTTGCTCATCTTAGTGAACGTGGTATGGCAGAATTACACAAGAGAAACTTGTTGCATGGTGTCAAAAGCTGTAAGCTCGACTTTTGCAAGTATTGTGTTCTTGGTAAACAGACTAAAGTCCGTTTCAAGACTGCGAAGCACACAACTCAAGGGATTCTTGATTATGTGCATTCTGATGTATGTGGGCCTTCCACGACATCGTCTTTGGGTGGATCTAGGTACTATGTTACTTTTACTGATGATTTTTCACGGAAAGTTTGGGTGTATTTTTTGAAACAGAAATCTGAAGTTTTTGAGAAGTTCAAGCTGTGGAAAGCTGAGGTAGAAAACCAAACAGGACGAAAAATCAAGTGTTTGCGGTCTGACAATGGTACGGAGTACACAGATTCACAGTTCCTACAATTCTGTAAGGAGCATGGGATTCAGAGGCATTTTACAGTGCGCAAGACACCACAACAAAATGGTGTTGCGGAACGAATGAACAGGTCGTTGAATGAAAGAGCCAGATGTTTGCGGGGCTTCCCAAACACTTCTGGGCTGAGGCTGTTAACATGGCGTGTTACCTTATCAACAGATCGCCAAGGGCATCGCTGGCTGGGAAAGTTGCAGAAGAGGTATGGACTGGTCATGATGTTAGTTTTGATAACTTACGGATTTTTGGTTGTCCTGCTTATGTGCATGTACCTGCTAATGAGAGATCCAAACTTGATGCAAAATCGAAGGAGTGCATTTTTCTAGGTTACAAGAAAGGTGTCAAAGGATTCAAGTTCTGGGATCCAGTTGCGAAGAAAGTTGTGATTAGTAGAGATGTCGTTTTTGATGAACAATCCATGTTGCAGCAGAAGCAAGACACGACAGTGGTGGATCTCGAGCAGTTTCCAGTTGAGAAACCAGAAACTTCTCAACCGACTTCTGGTGGTTCCACTACGGATGATTTGCAGGATTATAGTCTCGCCAGAGACAGGGTGAGACTGACGAATATAAAGCCTCCGAACAGATTGGGTTTTGAAGACTTGGTATCTTTTGCACTTATTGTTAGCAGTGATGATCCGATTACTTTTCATGATGCCGTTACTAGTCAGGAAAACGACAAGTGGATGGCAGCCATGATTGAGGAGATGGAGTCTTTGAATCACAATCGCACATGGGAGTTAGTTCCCCTTCCTGAGGGTAAGAAGTCGATTGGTTGCAAATGGGTGTATAAGAAGAAACCAGTAGTAACAGAAAAAGAGGGGGAGAAGTTCAAGGCTCGTTTGGTAGCGAAGGGTTTTTCACAGCAGAAAGGAGTTGATTATGATGAAATCGTTTCTCCTGTGGTCAGGCACACTTCAATCCGAGCAGTACTTGCATTGGTGGCTAGTTGGGATTTGCATTTAGAGCAGATGGATGTTAAAACTGCTTTTTTGCATGGTGATTTAGAGGAGCAGATCTACATGCGGCAACCTGAAGGTTTCACTCAACCTGGAAACGAGCATTTAGTTTGCAGATTGAAGAAATCTTTGTACGGGTTGAAACAGTCTCCGAGACAGTGGTATAAACGGTTTGACTCCTATATGATCAAGATTGGCTACAACCGATGTGAGTATGATTGTTGTGTCTATGTTAAGAGCCTTGATGATGGTTCTTTTATTTTTCTATTACTGTATGTTGATGATATGTTGATTGCTGCGAAGAACATGGATGATGTTATCGGTTTGAAAACTTTATTGAGTCAGGAATTTGATATGAAAGATTTAGGTGCTGCAAATAAAATTCTTGGAATGGAAATTTGCAGGGACAGAGACTCAAGGAAACTGCGGCTATCTCAACGGGGTTATGTTGAGAAAATGCTAGAAAGGTTTGCGATGAGCAGCGCGAAACCAGTTAGCACTCCATTGGCGAATCACTTTAAGCTCTCATCAGAACAGTGCCCCAAGACAGATAAGGAAGCTGAAGATATGGCAAAGGTTCCGTATTCTAATGCTGTTGGCTGCTTGATGTATGCGATGGTATGTACTCGTCCTGATTTAGCTCATGCTATTAGTCAAGTTTGTAAGTACATGTCTAAACCTGGTAAGCAACATTGGGAAACAGTCAAGTGGATCTTTCGGTACTTAAAGGGTACTGTGGAACATGGAATTGTTTTTGGGAGTCAGCGGGATAATCCTTTGGTTGTAGGATATGTGGATTCAGACTATGCAGGTGACTTGGATAATAGAAGATCTACGACAGGGTATGTCTTTACTCTTGGTGGAGGGCCTATTTGTTGGAAGTCTACTGTTCAATCTATTGTGGCTCTATCTACAACTGAAGCTGAGTACATGGCAGCGGCTGAAGCTGCAAAAGAAGCTTTATGGCTTACTGGTTTAGTGAAGGAGTTGGGTGTTCAACAAGGTGGAGTTCAGTTGCTTTGTGATAATCAAAGTGCTATTCACTTGGCTAAGAATCAGGTGTATCGTGCTAGAACTAAACATATTGATGTAAGGTTCCACAAGATCAGAGAGTTGGTTGCATCTGGAGAGGTTTTGTTTCAGAAGGTACATACTGATGAGAATGCCGCTGATATGTTCACTAAGCCAGTTACGACAGACAAGTTCAAGCATTGCTTGAACTTGTTGAATGTTTCGAGTTGTTAAAGGATCAAGGTAACCCACATTGAAGTTTCCAAGAGGCAGGATATTTGCCAAGGTGGAGATTTGTTAGGTATGGCTCATAAATATACCAGTAAAGAGGACAGGAGATGGAGTGAACGAAGCGAGCATCAACTGTCCTTACAAAGAAAGTCTCGTTGTGGGGTTACGAATTATGTGGGTTGGGGGTGCGGGGGCGTAGCCCCCGCGGTACGGTACAGGGTTGATTTTGTAATTATGTACCAAGGTTTTCTATTATAAATAGAGATGTAACCTAGACCTAAAAGATTATTGAATAAAAACTTCTAGCGCCGCCTAGGCACCGAGGACGTAAGCACATTGCCGAACCTCGTAAAATTCTCGTGTTCTTTTGTTTTCTTTACCCGTTTTCGTCAACAGTTTAACTGTTTTGGTCCATCTTGTTAGCTAAAAGTTCAAAAACAATGACAAAACTGTCGGTGGTTTTCCTTTTCACCCTCTACATTGTCAATATGTAGGTGCTGCTGAAGGGAAGAAATGGAGTGTTTGTTTGTAGTTTATTTATTAGTAAGTCTTTGATTTCTGAAGTGAGGAAAATTCTAGGGTGAGTCAAAGCTTGTTCTAAGAATCATTTGCAACTTTATAGCTTCCTCTGCCTTCATTTTTTCCGGTCCTGGTTTGAATCACTTGGTTTTGTCCTTTCTAGTCAATTTCCCATTCTCTAAGAAATTGTTATTACTACGATTATTTTTCCCTGAAATGATTTGTTTATTTTCTTTCATGCTTTTCATTTTGGAATGATCTGACAGGGTTTTATTTTTATCATTGTAGTTTGTTGTTGAATGATATATTGAAATACATGCTTATGCATTCTTGAATTTTATTAAATATTATGTAATCATGCCACTTTCTGCATGCATGCGTGAATATTCTGTCAATTAAACTATTTTTGGTTCTTGTTTTATTTGTTATATCTTCTTTGCTTTAAGTTGAGATTTCTTTTCCATGCAGGGAAGTGATTGACAGTACAATTAAGATAGGAGAGGCAAATGCGCGCTTGAAGCAAACTGAGGTATGACTGGATGCCACAGAACTTGCTAAACAGAATGCTGAAGCTGATGCTGCGTTGGCCAAAGAGAAGGCAGAAGTCTTAAAATCAGAGGTCAAGCGGACTGAACTCATGGTAAGTGTTATATGCAGTAGTCATTTTCATTATGGTACAATTCTTTTGATTTCAATTGGTTTCTAATAGTTTGCACAACATGGTGGAATATGAGAGAGCTTAGTTTGTAATTTGGGGACCATTGTAAATACCATACTTTCTTGGGGGTTAACCTCCATGGGGTTCGCTTTGGTTTTCACCTGGAAGCATGTAAAGGTGACAACGACATGAAGGGATTAAGTCTTTTATAGTTAATTTTTACTTATTTTTCCTTTTTGAGTGGGGGGAAAGATAAGGTAGAATCCATGAGTTCCTTTGGTTTACTCTTTCTTTCCTTAAAACAATTAGAGTAATGACTGCATACAATTTGTGGTTTTCTCAGGTCATGAGCAAGGCTTTGTAACTTCGCTATTTAACATAATGTTTTTCCTGAAGATTGATTTTCTGGTCATGTTTTAAAACTGTGAAATTATTTAACTTCCTCCTTTGCAGATATCAGGGACTTGCAAAAATAAACATTTTTAAATGAGCAAATAGGGTAGTTCATGAATAATTGAACCAGGATAGCATATCAGCATTTATACATGTATGAATGATTGAAATTGAGCAAATGATTCTAAACAGAATTGTGTTAATTTACTTCTTGATTGGACCTGCCGATGTTACCAAAGAACTGGGCTGATGAATGTGTCCTTGTATCCTATTTCTTTGTCTATAATCTTCGGTCATTTTAGTTTTATTTTGAAAGGTGGACTGTTATAGTGCAGCTTTCTATGGTTACTGAAGAGATAAATAAGTTGAGAAATGTTATTAATGATTCAAAGAGGCATAAGAATGAAGAAGCTGGACTATTTATAGGTAAATATATTTAAAGTATATATTTAATAAAGATATACTCAAATTGAAAACATTCAAATAAAGTTATTTAAAGTATTTAAATATATAAATAACATGGACTATTTGTAGGTAAATTTATTTTAATTTATTTTATATTTTTAGGTAAATTTATTTTAATTTATTAAAATTAAGATCAAATTGAAAGAATATATAAATAACATGGACTATTTGTGTAATTATGCCATCCAAGTAAGCATCTAACGGCCCACGTGCGATTTTCGTCACGGCTGTTAACGTCGAGTGACCAATTTGTAACAAACGATAATATTAATGACCAATTTGTGACTTTTGAAACATCAATGGTGAAAACGAAAACCTACCAAAACATTACTGACCATTTGAGTAGTTTACCCTAAAATTAATCTAAAAATAATTTAACCTAAATATTTTTTTTTCAAAAACAAATATTTCTTTCTTAGCACACTAGTTAAGCATGCCCCATGTTTAATATTCTTGAAAGCCATGTATTATATTAATTTATTAAAGAATAACATGTTGAATCATCAATAACTAGTTGATCTAGTGGATGAGGTACTAAATCCTTTAATCAAATTGGATTCGGGAGTCACCCTCGCCTATGTAGTACTTGATTTGATTAGTCGATTGATAAATCAGATACTAGTGGTTACACAAAAGATAAACATGTATAAATGTCACATTATCTATCGTTAACAAATAACTTAATTGATGACAATGATTGTAATGCAAGTTCTTAAAGAAGACGAATACAACTAAAAATTGGAATATATCTATATAATTGATTTAATAATAAATATTTTAATTATACAATTGTGATAAAATATTTGTCACTAATAAGAATAATATTAGTTTCTAAAATTTTATCATTGCTATTAATCTTATTAATCTTTTTATGTAAAAAAATAGTCACAAAAACCAAAATTAATTGTGATAAAATTCAATAAATTATCACTAATATAATAGTAACAGTTATCAGTGATGTAAAGTGAAGTGACCACTCAAAAAATTTATCACTGTGATATTTATTGATTGAATTTGATATTTTTAATGTCACTGAAAATACAAAATCCTATAATATCGTCATATAATTCATTGATAATATATAAAATTATATATTGTCAACACATTGAATATTAATTCTTGAAAACAATAATTCAATAAAATCATCTATTTAAAATCATATATTTTATTCTTTCAAAACCTTTATTTTAAAAGAAAAAGATATTTATAACAACTAACCATGCAGATATAAGACAATTATAATAAGAAATAAAAGTATCCATGAATTTGTGGACCGCCATTAGATGACAAACATAAAGGAACAAAAGGCAAAATCATATGGACACAGATACTCTTTTCCCAGAGTAACAGTAACATGCCTTTTTCTTGGTATCCCAAAGATGAGTGTTAATTGGGCTTTTTTACCCCACTGACACCGTTTATTTTTATTTTTACTTTTCTAACACCGTTCGACCAATATTTCCAAAACTAGCACCCTTTCTGCTGAGTTGGCAAAGGCGCGTCCCCGGGGGCGCGCTTTACCCGTGTTTTCGCTGATTTGGATGCCACGTGTGAAAGGCGCGTCCCCGGGGACGCGCCTTTGCCATATCAGCAGACACGTGTGGAAGGCGCATCCCCGGGGACGCGCCTTCCATTAAATGTCATTAATGCCCCCATCCGTTTTTCCTAACTACCCCTCCTCCTCCCCTATATAAACCCCCTCAACCCTCACTCATTCTTCACACCAAAATCATCTTCTCCTCTCTTATATAACTCAAATTCTCCAACTATTTGAGTTTTAAATTTGTTATTAGTGGTAAGAAATTTATTTTTATGTTAGTATTTTTTTAAATAGTTATTATTTTTTATATTAATATATTTATGTAAATATTATTTTATTATTAAAATAATATTTATATAATTATTATTTATTTAGAATTATTAATTTTTTTGCTAATTATATTGTTTTGTCTACAGTTATAATGGAAAACGAAATGCTGTTGCGATTGGATAATGATCATATCTCCAGACATTTTAGCGATATGGTAATATTTTTTATAATTAATGTTAATATTTAAATTTATTTTTATTTTAAAGTTATTATGAATTTATATTAATTTTTACGAACTCTTACCTCAAAGGTTTGAGTCGATGCTACAAGAGCTGTTTGGCAAAAATAAGAAGGGGTGCGAGTACATTATGGACATCAGCAAAGAAATGTGGACAAATGCATATGACGGGGGGTATCGCTATGGTCATATGACAACAAACTTGGCTGAAGCAATAAATTCAACCTTAAAGGGGGCGCGTCATTTACCAGTCACGGCGTTGGTCAAAACGACTTATTTTCGTTTGGGTCAACTCTTTGCAAAACTCGGTGGACAAGCTCTTACTTGGATGCAAAACGGACATATTTACCACCCAAGACTAGTAGCCGATTTACAGAAAAAAATGGCTACATCAAATGGGATGTTAGTTACAAATTTTTCTCGCACCCGTGAATTGTTTCGTGTAACCGAAATGCCACGTCCGCTGCAAGGGATTGAAGCTAACTCTTTCAGAGTTAATCTGCAAGAGAGGTGGTGCGATTGTGGTTTCTTTCAAGCACTCAAATATCCATGCTCTCATGTCATTGCTGCTTGCTCACATTCGCATTTGGACTACAAAAATTATGTTGATCCCGTATACCAACTTTCACAAGTTTTCAAGGTATATGAATTTGAGTTTCCGCCCATAGGAAACGAAAGAGACCCAAATGAGATTCAAACTTGGCTTACAATTGTCCCAGATCCATTGCTATTGAGGTACTCAGGTCGTCCAAAATCTACTAGAATACATTGTGATATGGATATTCGGGAGAAGTCAACAGAACAAAAACGATGTGGGCATTGTAGAAACATCGGGCACAATAGAAAAAATGTCCAGCTCTGTTATCATCATATAACCGTTAACTCTTATGTAATTAAAGTTTTTAAATGAATGTTTTTATTTCTAATAATTTAATGTTATTGCATTTATATAATTTGTCAATGTATGTACACCTAAATAATTTTTTTAACTTTTAAATACATAAATATATTTAATATATTATTTAATATAATATTTAATATTATTAGTTATAATTTTTACATTATAATCGAAACATTTTACATAATATAATCGAAACATTTTACATAATATTATTAATTTATAATAATAATAAAAATAAACTATTTATTATAAAACAAAATACGTGTCTGCTGAGTTGGCAAAGGCGCGTCCCCGGGGACGCGCCTTTCACACGTGGCATCCAACTCAGCGAAAAACCGGGTAAAGCGCGCCCCCGGGGACGCGCCTTTGCCAACTCAGCATAAAGGGTGCTAGTTTTGGAAATATTGGTCGAACGGTGTTAGAAAAGTAAAAATAAAAACAAACGGTGTCAGTGGGGTAAAATCACCTGTTAATTGGCCTCTTTTTCAGGTTAATTTTTTTTAAAATTAATAAGCGAGGCTTTATTATATTATTTTTTAAAAATGTATTTTAAAAGTATATTATTTTTTAACTTATCAAATGATATCATTAGTTAAAAAGGTTTTCTTTAGAAATTTAGGATTTAAGTAGTTGTATATCTAAAGTATGTCATCAAATATTAATTTTTTAAAATAAATATTATCTTACAATCTTCTTAAATTATTAAAAAAATATTAATTTTAAATAAATATTTAAATTGAGACATAAAAGTCTTGGATCCAAATAAATATATTTCGGATTATATATCTATCAAGTGGCCTCAATTAGGATGAAACTATGTAGAGAATAAGACGGGTTGTTGTTCCTCCTAAATTTTTTTATTTAATAACATTTTAGATTTTTATAAATTTAAATATAAGTAAAAATAGACTTTTGCCTCTTTTAACTTTTAGTTTAAATACATAATAAATCTTTATTATTTCGAACTTAGATACATTCTCAATTTTTTTTATCTTAGTTCCATCATTGATCTCAATGATAAAAGAGAATATATTATTTTTTTCTAGAGATTATGAGTCTGCAAATTATGTATGTATAATTAATATGTTAAGAAAATTTTACACATATACTATAATGTAATCATTGAATACTATTAAAAAAATATTTTGGATAACATATGACATGACATGAAAGTGTAATCCACGAGGTGATAGTGCGTGTGGGACTTAAATTCAAGTGAGGCCAGTTCCATCAATTTGCGTAGAATTATAAATTGCCTCAAAATCAGCCACATTAGACAAGAGTAAACAGCATCTCCCCCTCCTCTTGAGAAGGTGGAAATGGAAGAAAGAAGAGGGAACATCAAAGTAGAGATTAAGGAAGAAGGAAGCACAGTCGATTGGAAAGGGAAGCCTTCAAACCCTAACAAACATGGCGGCTTCAGAGCTGCTTCATTTGTTCTTGGTTTGTTTCACTTTCTCTTTCTCTTTCAATCTTTTTTCCATTAAAGTCTGAGCTTGAACATCTTGTTCATGGTATTTTATGTTTAATAATGGATTCCAGGGCTTCAAGCATTTGAGATAATGGCAATAGCAGCGGTAGGGAACAATCTGATCACATACGTGATAAACGAGATGCATTTCCCCCTCTCAAACGCAGCAAACATAGTGACAAATTTTGTGGGAACAATCTTCCTTTTGACCCTCCTTGGTGGTTACCTCTCTGACTCTTTTCTTGGGAGTTTCTGGTCCATGCTTATCTTTGGCTTTCTCGAGCTTTCTGTAAGCTTTCTTCTTTATATATATACATATATTCACTCACATCTTTATTTTATTTTCTTTTTAAATTTTCTTTTCTTTTCTTTTTTAATTCCCCCCTTTTTGTCTTTCTCTCCTTTCGACAATAGTGACTTAACTTGCTCATCTGCAGTAGAAGTTTGGCAGGCACTGTACCCCTTTTCATAAAAAGAAAGACCACTTGAATCTGATATAGAACAATATAGGGATCAAATTATGGCCTTTT